TCTGATGAGTAAGGAGATATTATTTGTGAAATTATTTGAAGGGATTAGGCTTACTTGTATAGTTGTTTCAAAACGTGTTGCTAAGTGTTCTTCTATTGAGTGAATGAGTGATTCTATGCTTTCAACTCTGTCAGGTAGGGTACTCAGTTTGTTTAGCTTAGGAGAACATGATGGACATAGATAAAAGAATGTATCTGAATTTTTAACCATATCAGCTAGGCTTTTGTTTGCGTTTAAGCAGGCAGGGTGGGCTAGATTATCGCAAAGGCGGCATTTGATGTAAATTTCGCTTTCATTGATGGTTTCAAGACATTTGAAACATGTGCAGGAGTCTAGGAGGTCATTGGTAGAGATATTTTTCTTTTGTTTTGGTTTGGAGTTTTTGGCTGGCATGGTCAATGGCAATAGTAAAGTAATCAATTACAATAGCTAGTTAATGTGATAGGTAGACAGTTACTTAATGCATGTTGGTAATTAATAAATGTTAGTTGATATGTTAGAGAACAAATCAAAAGGTTACTTATTACTAAAAATAAATAAATCAATTGGTTATTCAAATCACTCTAATCAAATAATTTTGCTAAGCAACAAACAGCGTAATTTATTTCAGTAATTACTAAACACACTGGTCAATTAAATTCACTAAATCACTGGTTTTACTAATCAGATATTCAGTAATCACACTATATGCACTAAACACTCAATCATACCAATCAATAAAACAATAAATCAATTAATCATTTGATAAAAATTAATTATTTTAAAGAAATTGATTTTTGAGATAAAGTAATGAAGTTGTATTGAGAGTTAGTAAGTAAAGGGCTTTGCTTTGCTTTGCTTTGCTTAGCTGTTGCTGATATCTGATAATAGGTTCATAACCCCTAATAAACTGGCAGGAGGTCTCTTTTCCTGGGCTGTTTGAAAACAATCAGTGAGCAAGGGTTTACACTCTCTTTCTTGTTTTGTAGATTGAGGTTTTGAGATAGTAAAGATGCAAAGATGCTGAAGCAGCAGAGATAAACAGAGCAATTCACTGGGAGGTAACAGGAAACTTTTTGTTTTGTTTTCCTTTGATGAATGGGATTTCCGGCCCCCTTCTAGTTAATTTAAATACACTTTCAAAGTTTGTTGCTTTTAAGAGAAAGAGGCACGTAGATAGTCTTGCACTGGCAGTTCAAACAGTTTATATTTTTACTATGTAGACTCAGATTTGTATTGAGCATTCGCTCCTGGCTTCAATATACTTCTGCTTCTATCATAGGAAATAAAATTGTTTCCAATCTTCACAGGAGTTCAGTTATAACAATACTTCCCTACTTATTGAAAGTCCAAAGTTACTGTCCTTTTAAAGATGGAGTCCGGATTAGCAATTTGGTGCAATTTGGTGAAGAGGGAAGAGAGAAGGAGGGGCGGCAGGGGGGAAGAAGTCTGCTTCACACCCTGGCTGCAAACGTCTGAAGACCGACTCACAGCTCCTGGTGCTCACCGCCTTGCAAGGATGGGATGAATCTCACCGTCTCACCGCCCCGGTACTGGCGAGCCCCACTGCCTTATCTTCTATTAAGGATGGGTCAAATCGCAGATCGTTGAGCGCTTTTGAATAGAGCGCTTTTGAATTTAGTGCTTACCGACGAATGAGTTCTTTTCTGGCGTGCTGGTCAAGGATGGGAGGAATCGGAGCTCTCCCAGTACTTTTGAATTGAGCGTTTGCTGAGGAATGGAGCTCTTTTCTGGCTTGCTGGCAAGTCTCGAGCGTTAGGCTTTCCACCTCGCTGGCTGGCTTGTCGCCGGGCGCTGCCTGTGCCTGCAGGAGCTCCTCACACTCCCGCTACTGCCGCATTGGAAGCAGGAAGGGCATCCAGCCAATAAAAACTTAGGTCCATTCAGTTGCTCAGACAAGCGATTACGGGGTCATTGAAAGGTGATGATTGATGATGATGGTGATGATAGTAGATAGAGAACCCTAGTGCATAAATTTAAATGCACTCTCTTAACATTAGATGTGGTTCAATAAACAAAGACAAAATTCTGCTAAACCAGAAACTTCCAATAGTGAAGGCCAGCTGTAAAACACATACATGGCAATCACATGACCAAGGAAACTATGATGATCACACATGCCCACCAGTTCCAAAACACCTAAATCTCAATCACGTGACCACAGGGACACTGCAATGGTTTTAAGAGTGAGGGTCATAAAATTACCCCTTTCAGAGCCGTAACTTTGAATGTTCAGCAAATAGGACAGTCATTAAGTGGGGGTTACTTGTACAATATTCATTTAATTGCAAATACTTGTTCAGCTGAATTGTAGGTTAGCTGATATTGACTTATAATGATATTGTCAGATGGAGCTTTTTAATTATCTTAGATCATAGCAATGTATTCTTACAGCGTAACACAACTAGCATTATTGAGCAATGGAAGAAAAAGTGTATTCACAGATCTAAGTAATGCAATACTGTATGGGAACTGAGACATCTTTAGTTTTGTTTTCTTTGCTAGGTGAAACAATTTGAAGAATTTAAGTTGAAGTCTAACATTGTTGGAATGTTTTGATCACTGTTCAGTAAAACCCCAAAACAAATGTATTATGAATTAGAAGAACATGAGCAGTAGTTTTTAGTGATATTGTTTATTTGATTTGTATGGGTGCCCATCATTTTTAAGTGACACTGGGCAGCTGAGTTTTTAATTAAAAGTTCCCCAAAAGCCCACAAATCCACCAATCTACTGTATGATACGGCCTGGGGAAACTGTGATCCATCTTAATATTTGAAGTGCTATGAGGTAATGTGTCTCACAAAGCACCAAAGCAGGACAAGTTGGTAATGTGATTTTATTTACTCCTGCCAGCCTTGGCAAATTAACAATAGGAAAAGAACAGCATGCTTCAACAGGTAAGTGCAAAAATAATCAGTGTCCTTCCACAGAATTTCAATAGTTCATGGAATACAAAAAATCCTCCACTTTCTTCACGCAGAAAGGAAAACAAATATACACTTCTCTGTATTTCCAACTATAGTATAATGTGCATTTGGCCAGTTTTCCAGAAATCTGAGTTACTGGAATGAATGAGAAAGCTGCCTATCCATGAAGAAATATAAATTTTCACATATAAAAGAATGATGGTGACATGATACCGAAGTGTAGTGACCAGGTGCTTTTTTGAAAAGCTCCAATTTGGATTATAAGTTTTGCTTCTATTTGGTCTAAGCAGCAAAAATCAAGATGAGGAACTTTATAGCAAGAAGTAAACTGGCTTATCAACTAATCAGATTTGCTCATAGGAATGACTTGTATAACTAGGAAAATGAAGCCTGCGTTGGAATTGTGAAAAATTAGGATTGGGTTTCTCCAATAAGGTTTAATGTGAAATTTAACAATGCTCCAGATCAATTGGAGAGTGAGGTCTCTACAAATGCAGAAACAGTTTATCCTCCTGCTCTGCAGAGCTTCAGTATCTAATGTTTAAAAGCAGATTTGCAATTTGTCTTGCACTACAGATGAACTAAGTCAGCCTAATTCTTCAACACACATTGTAAAATAGAATATAAATTAAGAGTAAACCCCACTCTCCATTAGTACTGATATTACCTAGTTTGGTTAATGAAACCTCTCCAAGAAAACAACCAAGGTCAGAGAGCACCCCTCATGTTGTAAGATTAGAATGCAACCACTCCTAAAGATTGCCCTTCCACTTCACCAACTTATACGCAATATGGTTCCTCTTTTAAAAGCCTGCTTCTTAATGAACAATTAAAGCTTAAGCAATACTTCTCTGCCCTAAGCAAGATTATCTTTTCTCTTTTGACAGGGAATTACAGTGAAAATAACTGCTCTGTTGGGGTCCCCAGAAGCAGTAGTTTTGAACATTTCTATTTTCAAAAGCCAAAGTTTAAAGGGTTGAACTAACCATACAAAGACCCAGGACCTTGTTCAGCTTCATCCACAAAAATGTCCTAGTAATTTGGAACTACTTTCTCTCTCAGCACAACCTACTTCATAAGGTGTCATGATAAGGACAAACAGGAAAAGGAAACGGTATGTGCTGTATAATTTCGGTGTTGCGAGTATCTTTTTAGTTTTTTTGGGGGGGGGGGTTACGTCTGTAAGTTAACATAATGGAATGTGGGGAAGATACAAGATAACATAGAAACTTGGTAAATGTAGAAATAAGGAACATTTACACAACACAGTTGTGTTCCTGGTAGTCCCTGACTTTATGACCACAACTGGGACCAGAATTTCCATTACTAAGCATGGTAGTTGTTAAATGAGTCCCGCCTGATTTAAAAATCTTTTTTTTTGCCATGGTTGTTAAGCAAATCATTGTACTTGTTAAGCACATTCTCCCAATTTGCTTTATTGGAAGCCAGCTGGGAAGACATTGAAACCATGGTAATACATGCTGGTTGCCAAGCACTTGAATTTTGATCACATCACTGTAGGGATGCTATGACAGTTGTGTCAGCAGTGGTCATAAATCACTTTTTCAATGCTCTTGCAACCTTGTTCACTAACTGAATGTTTGTAAGTCGAGGACTACCTATAAACTAAAATGGTTTATAAACATGTTTGCTCACCAGCAAAATATGTCTATCCTGTCGATATTAGTCTTAACCAAGATTAACAATATTCCTAACCCTGGCTCCCTGATGGGAAAAGTATTCCCAGTCTAGGACTTTGAATATCTTGCAAACTTGTCCTTTTTCACACTGTTATACAGCATTCTCTCTTCTTTATGTGAAATATAACATAGAATGAGATTCCCTATCGTTTCATCGTCTGCTTCCACCACCCCTATTATCACACAGTATACAAAGAGCTGAACTCCAGTACAAAAGAAAGGCTATAAATCTAACAAATAAATGTCATGGATGAGAGATTTATATATAAACATACTCCCTCTATACATAATATAACACTGAAAGTTTATTATATTTTGCTTCATAACCTTCTATAGGTATTAGTTTCCAAATAAAATTTTCATAGGGAACCATTTGATAAATTGTGTGCTATAACAACAAATAGAAGAATTGGTATTGGCTATTTTATCCAGCAATTTTAAACTATAAATGAATAAATCCCTATATACAGCATACATACAGGCACACTTGGTTTATATAAACACAGTCATATTAATTCCCGTCATATGACTTCAAAATCTAGAAAATTTCCCTAACGTGTGTAATGTTTTTAATGCAATGTGGAATTTTCTCAAACAATAACTCAGAGAGAATACGATTTATTTTACAAATATAAATAATCAAACTATAAGACTATCCCCATAATAAGCTTTCTTTTTTTAGTCAAACACAACCAAGGAAAGCATTTTTTTCTGTACAACGGGCATTTATAACACATATTTTAGGGAGAAAAGTAATTTTAAAAAGCATTATTCTTAAGAAAATCAGTACTATTAAAAAAAAAATCAGTAATTTGTGCCAAAACGACTATTAACTTTCTGGGTGCTCAAATAAATGACTAGATTGACTATAAGGTATTCATTTGTTTCTTCCATCCATATTAGTTCCATGTACACTTTTCCAGTTGAATCCTTGTAATTAATACAATAACAAGGTCCCAGAGAATTATACAGAGTAGATGTTTTGACTGATAATTTCATCTCCACTGGAACACTAATACACCAAAATGGTTTTTGTGAATCATCCAGAAGAGTCAGATCCATAATGAAACAACTCTGTGATACAGCAGAAAGGAAGAAAGAAAATCAGTCTTTGTGCCTGTCATTTCCATTCCAGTGAAGAATGTAAAATCCTTTCCATAAAATACTCCTTTAGCAGGTGTAGAAAATAATGAAAAAATATAATACTGACTTTAAAAACCTTCGAAAACAAAATTATCAGGGAATAAGACAGATATTTTTGTTCAATAATTCTTGATTATAAAAGACAGTTAAAATGTGAGTCTTATATTCTAGATTAGTAAGAAATAACAATTTTTTAAGTAACCATTACATTATCATTCCCGATAATACATCAAATTTGTTTGCATAATCCATTTCAAATCTATTCTGTATCAGAAAAACTGCATTCAAAATAACTGTATATTGAGAATTGTTAGGGTAATTTTGTAGAACTATAAATTTTATATAGTGTGTGCTGCATTTATTTATTTACAGTAAAAGACTAATACTGTTTTATACAGTACTAACTACATGAAAACTTGTTTTATAAGGAGAATCAACTATTTCCACAATTCAGTAATTGAAAATTACCTTAATAATGCCTTCAAATGCATCTGTCCTCCAAGACAATCCAATGTTTCCATCAAGAGGAAGATGTTGAGCTTCCTTTTTGTAACTGATTACTGAAAGCCTGAGATACCCATTTCTAATGTATTCTGAAAGTGAATTAAAACATAATTATATCATGTCATGGCCAATAATGATATGTTGAAAGAATATGTCAATTCTTTATGTCTTTTCTCAGAAATTTTTATGCTACCTATAAATGAATGAGGAATATTTCCTAGGTTACAGTCATGGTCCATTGGAAAATGGAATAAACAGAGATTGCAATATTATCAAAGGCAGTAACAGTTTTGTTACTTTAATTTTTTTATGACTTAATGATGAGCACTATAAAGTCTTGCCATATTTTGTTATATGATATATAACATTTAAGCTACTTTGGCTACCAAACTGATTTTTTAAAATGCCATTTCATTTTAATTGCAGTATTATCAATAATTTGCTAGCCCTTTGTACTACCTATCTTTTGTGACACCTATAGAACAGTAACCAAATGTTTTTGGAGAACAAATTTTACAAGAAATACTATTACTCAAACTCAGATTGTGGCCAAAAATACCTTTCGTTTGATTCTCAGCAGAGGAAGCATCTTACGGATGAGAAATAATAAACAAACATAAATGGCTAGCCTATCGTGAGATGCTAGAATTTTGTTAAGAGGAAAAATAATAAAAGCAATAACTGAAGCAAAATATAATTGCTAATGGTCTTCTCATTTAATTATTAGAAAGATTAAAGGTGGAGAAGAGTTTATGTTTTTGAACATTATAAGACTAATTTTGAAGCAGAATTGTGTACAAATGAAAAGCATATAATTGTTAAAATGTATGTATTTATTTATTTAATTTATATTGCCACCTATTTGCCCATGGCGACTCAAGGCAGCGTACACGATGTAAAACCATATTTAAAACAAAAAATAAAAATAAAAAAACAATAAAAACTAACAAAAAGAATCAAATAAATTAGTAAAGTACAATAGAATAAAATTTGGAAAAACAAAAAACAAAACAAAAAAACCCAAGAAAACAAAAACCAATTCCCACCCACCCACCCCCGCCCCGACAACACCAGATCACACTAGCCATTTGATGGGCTCCATCCCTCTCTGGGTTCCCCAGGCCTGCTGGCAAAACCAGGTCTTCAGTGCCTTTCAAAAGAGTGCTAGAGCGGGGGCCATTCTAATCTCTGGGGGAATGATATTCCAGAGAGAGGGAGAAGGCCCTTCTTCTGGTTCCCACCAGGTGTATCTCCCTCAGGGGTGGGACCCGCAACATTCCCTGCCTCTTCGCTCTAATGGGTCGGGGAGATGTGACTGGCAAGAGATGTTTCCTCAGATAACCTGGACCCAAGCCATGAAGGGCTTTAAAGGTGACAAACAGCACCCTGAATTGCACCCGGAAGCAAATCGGCAACCAATGCAGCTCCTGCAGGAGAGGTGACACATGTGCACACCAGGGTCTGCACAAAACCATGCAGGCTGCTGCATTTTGCACCAACTGGAGCTTCCAGATGCTCTTCAAGGGCAGCCCCATATAGAACGTGTTGCAATAATCAAGATGGAAAGTGACCAGGGCATGAGTGACTGTGAGTAGGGACCGCTGATCCAGGAAAGGGCATAACTGGTGCACAACCCACAGTTGCGCAAAGGCCCCCCTGACCATGACTGCCACCTGTTCTTCGAACAGTAGTCTTGAGTCCAGAAAAACCCCTAGATTACGCACAAGGTCTTTTGGGGGTAGTGCCTCCCCATCCAAGACTAAAGGTGATAATTCTCCCTGAGCCAACAAACCCCAAACCCAGAGCCACTCGGTCTTACAAGGATTTAGTTTCAACCCATTGTTCCCCATCCAGCCCCTATCAGTCTCCAGGCACTGCAAGAGGGAGGACACAGCAACATTTAAATCACCACGGCGCGAGACATACAGCTGAGTATCATCAGCATATTGGTGATACCTCAGTCCATGGTGACGGATGATCTCACCCAGCAGCTTCATATAAATGTTGAACAGGAGCGGAGAGAGTACCAAGCCGTGCGGAAACCCATAAAGAAGTGGGCGAGGGTTGGATTTCTCCCCTCCTATCAACACTGACTGAAAGCAGCTGCAGAGGAAGGAAGTGAACCAAGACAGCACAAGGCCTCCCACTCCCATCCCCCAAAGCCGCCCCCAGGAGACTCCCATGGTCAATGGTATAAAAAGCTGCCGAGAGGTCAAGTAGAATAAGAATGGATGCACTACCCACATCCAGCTCCCGCCAGAGATCATCCAAAAGTGCGACCAATGCTGTTTCTGTCTCAAATCCAGACCTGAATCCTGACTGGTAGGGGTCAAGATAATCCATTTCATCCAGAAACCTCTGGAGCTGCTGCGCAACCTCCTTCTCAACAACCTTCCCCCAAAAGGGAAGATTGGAGACAGGTTGGAAATTATCCAACCGGGTGGAGTCCAGCGATGGTTTCTTAAGAAGAGGGCGGACCACAGCCTCCTTAAAGTATTGGGGCACCATCCCCTACTGTAGAGAAGCATTAATCACCACCAGAGTCCACCCACCTGTCACTTCCTAGGAAGCTTTCACAAGCCAGGAGGGACATGGGTCTAAAATACAGGTGCTTGCGTGCATACTCCCTAGGATCCTGTCCACTTCCTCAGGAGAAACAGGGTCAAACCGTTCCCAGATAACAGGGCCAGAACCTGCCTCAGGAGCTTCCACCGGATCAGCAACCACCCCAGCATCTAACTTGGAATGAAGTCAAGCGATTTTGTCTTCCAGAAAATCCACAAATTCCTCAGCGTGCCCCTTCAGGTGGACCTCAATCTCCTCCTTCCCTAGGAGGAGACGGCTCACTTTAAAGAGGGTCGCTGGGCGATTATCTGCAGACGCAATTAGTGTGGAGAAGTATTTACACTTCACCTAACGAATTAACTAACTGAAATTTAAAACAGAAGAACTAGTGAAAGAACATAGGACAAAGAGAAGTAAAATTTTTGGTTATAATATATAGATTGAATAGTGAAAAATGTGTGGCTGAAACAACTGAAATTTGCACTGTTACAATCTTAAAGAGAATTTTTATAAAATGATCTATCATTGTATATGTAACCAAAGAATTGGTCTAGGCACTTCTGTTGTTTCTTTTTTAAATATGAACAAGAAGGGACATTTTATCATGTTTGATAGACATGTAAAAGCTAGAAAATTTTGGATTCAAATTCAGAGGATTTTAAAGATTAATATAAAATTGAGACCAGGAGTCTGTATTTCAGACAAACAACAGGAAAAAAAATCAAAGCATTTTGTTTTTGTACATGAGAGATGCAGTGAGATTATTATATGCAGAAATATGGAAAGATTCAGAACTAACCACAATAGAGGAATGGGTTGGTGAATATGGAACTTGATGAAAAGGTCAGCTTGATTTCTTTGATTAGAGAAAATATACTATCTACATTTATCGCTGACTGGAAAACCCTTATGGATTTTTGGCATAAAATAGACAAAAGTGAATTTATGATTTATGGCTTTATTATACAAATTATAGAATAAATAAAATCATGCTGTAACCTCAGAGTAAGAAGTTAATTTATCATTTTATTTAAAACTGCTGTAAACAAGATTGGAAGCCAGTTCTTTGTATATTTTACTTTCTTTTCTACTTAATGTTACTCTTTTCCTTTCTTGCATTTTTAGCTTTCTTTGATTTTTCTTTTTATTCTTATTTATATTAGTTTGTATCAATTTTTATCTTACTTTTTAAATATATATAAAATGCCATTAATCAACTTCAATGTGAATACATATTCTTTTTTGTGCTCCTCTACTGTAGCTACTCAAAGCTTTAAGCTTTTTTTGGTGGCTTTTAAAAGGCAAACTGAATCTTTATTCAAAAATACATTTTCATAAATATTCCTAAATATTTGGGCTTGTACCATCATAGCTGGCTGTAATAGAAATCATAAAATTCTTCAAAATTAGTGCTAAATTGTGTCAAAATTTTTGTATTTTCTTCTTCCTCATTCTCTTACATATGCCATGTCTTTCTAGTATGTCAGCTTCATCTCAGGGGGAAAAATCTGTAAACTAAGAAAGCATTTAGACTGAAGACTACAATTAAATAAACACATTCCTTTATTGGTTCACTGAAGATATTGAACTCCGTTCTATACTGAAGTGAAAAAATCTAACAAGGAAAATTATTTCTAAAAAAATACTGCATCTTTGCAGTAATGAGAATTATTGAGATTTCATGCTTATTCCTCTGAAAATTAATTTAAAAGCATCGCCCCCACCAAGAAACATTACCAAGTCTGCAGTTCAAACAGTACCTTTTTTACAAAACAAACTGCGAAATGTACTACATATATAATTATTTCCTCTACTCTGTAAGTCAATATGCAGCTGATAGCCATGCAGGCCATATTCAGGGTCAATATCATCTGGGACAGCCTTAATAGAGGCTCCATAATGTCTCCTGAAAAAAAATAGATGGAGAAGATTGCATGTATAGGGTATATAATGACTATATAAAATGTTAAATCATGAACTGCATATGGGGAGAAGCGTTTTCAGTCCAATTTCTCAGAGCTACTTTCAGCTCTCAAATATTTTAACTTATATTGGGTTAACATCTGAGTAGTCTTTAGCAATTAAACTATTAATTTAAATATATAAACATGAATCTCTTTGGGGGATTTCAAATATATTTAACAAATTATAAATGTCTTATTCTGTTCATACAATCTTATCTTTTAATATGGTTGTGTAAACAGCTTATATAAACTCTTTATTTTATATTTTGTGTTTCTTATTGACAATTGTTAAAACTATTATCTGGCAGGTGCTTGTTTGTTTGAGTCTTAAAGTCCCAGGTCACTTTAGTTTTTTCGTTTTCTATTATTTTGTCTATTTTATGGTTCCACCAGATCTTTCTTGCAGGCAAATGTTATTTCTTGCAGATATTCCAATCTTTGTGTTTACTTTGTCATGCTGTTGCTTATAAGTCAGTCTGTGTTGCTATCTTGCAGCAGCTAACCAGGTGATCCACTGTTCCTTCAGCTTTTGCTATCTGTTTCTGTCTTTTCAATTCTGGCTTTGTATGCATTCATTCTCAACGATTGATTAGTGTGCAGCCAGAATTAGACCCTCTGTCTTTTTCTTCAACTTTCCTGCTCTTAGGCATTGTCAGATCATCTAGTTATTTGCTTTGCCTGGCAGTTCTTTAATGTACTCGTCATGTATTATTTTGTCTTGCCATGTCTCTTCTGTTCTTCATTTGGTCTTTCATGTAAGCCAATTTTATCTCTCCAGTACTCAGTAAGTTTTCCTGTTGTATCAGAGTCACAGTGGCGCAGTGGTTACAGTGCAGTACTGCAGGCTATTTCTGCTGACTGCTGGCTGCTGCAATTTGGCGATTCAGATCTCACCAGACTCAATGTTGACTCAGCCTTCCATCCTTCCAAGGTCAGTAAAATGAGGACCCAGATTGTTGGAGGCAATATGCTGACTCTATAAGAGGGTTGTGAAGTGGTATGTAAGTGCTATTGCTATTAGTGTCCATGCATCTTCTTCACTGTTCTTCAGATATGCTTTCAATGCCCTTTTTTTCCCTTCAACTATCTGCTATATTTGGAACATTTCTGTTTCCTTTGATAAGTAGAGTCTGTCAACACTGCTGTGTGGATGAAGAGCGTGATTCATTGTCATTATTTTTGTCATCTTCCTATCCAGGACTTTTAGTTCTGCTTGAACCCAATCACTATTCTAGCTGCATATCTAATGACTGGAATTGTCTAGATGCTAATTGCCTTAATGGTATTTACTCTATTGAGTTTGAACTTTAAAATATTCACTTTCATAATGTATTCTCTCCCAATCTTCTTAATTTCAAAGTGCTTGAAGTCAGCTTAAAGAATGCCCAGGTATTTGTAGTGATTGTATTTATCCAGACTCTTCGTGTTATTTCTGTGCTTATTGATTCCTTTAGTTTTTAACAAACTCTATTGCTATGTATATTTCTCGTTTTTCCATAAAGCTTCAAATCGTCCATGTAAAGGGGGTAGGCCAGCCTAGCAAATGTTTTTGATGCTTGATATCTATGGCCTGACTTATTAAGTACTGCTGACAGAAGAATCAGTGTAATGACAAACAGTAGCAGTGATAGTAAGATTCTGAAAGATTGCTTCATGGATATTAACTGCTTCCAGTTGATCACCACTGATCAGCAACTGCGTCTTATTGTGCCATTGATTATTATTTTTAAGAAGTCATATCTAATTTTGCTTTCCACAACTTAGGATGACTACAGTAGTTACATTAGCACCAGCCGAAAAATGTTATTTGTTGTCCCACAACATATATAGATATATACCCAGAAAGGAATACAAGAAAAGTTAACTATTTGTTCAAAGAGTAGCATAGCTACTCCAGATTAACACAATCTGAGAAAACCAAGTGGGATCTTAAACCAGTTCTTTTTATATTACCACAAAAATTCTTTGTTTTACATCTAGATATGCTATGGAGCCCTTCCTGGGAGAATTATTCCCATAATATTCTTCTTTTCAAAGGTACCAATCTGCTACTCTAATTTTCTCTAGCCATCAGTACCAAGGGGAGAATTAGTATCATGCTGTACAAACACTTAGAAATGTGATATTACTAAAACAAATACTATTTTTCTTAGAACACATCTTTTTTTCAGTTCTGAGGAGGATCTTAGATATGAGCATCTCTGTTAAAGCAATTAAAACAGTACTTACAGTGTAGCAGAACCAAAAGTGCTTCTTTCAATGAGCTGGTGGTAATGAAGACTTGCCATAACAAAAGCAATCTCATCTTTCTACAAATAATTACAAATAGCATACCTTTCAAGAGTAAAGTATTTACCTTTCTGAAAAGTTTTGGTAAGCAAAATCCATTTAAGGCAACAACATAAAGGCATTTTTTGTTCTTGTGTGATCACAATCCATTTCTGATGTTTTTAAATTTTACAACTACAGTATTAAAATAAGAGTTTGCAGAGACTACATCATCTTTTTTTAATGATCAGAAACAACGTTCCAAAAATAAGCCTTTCTAGCCCAAGTTATTCCATACATGATCAGATTACCCTTGAACCTGGAGTATAATGAGATTCAGAAAAGTGAGAGGCTCTGTTGCTCATAGGTTTCAAAAGGATTCAATGAAATTAATTCCTCTTCCTGAACGCAGTAGGGCCAAATATGGTGTGGTAGGAATGGACTAAACTTTTCCATAAAATAAATCAGTTAGCTCGTACAGCTCAGAGACTATTCAAGATAAGAGAGTGGACAACAAGATAATGACATGGAGAATTTACTTAACTAAGGATATTCCTTACCTAATATAAAATCTTACTAGAAATCCAAAATTTTGAGAGGGACTAATAATTTGATTGCAGCACTATCTCAAAGTTCACAATGATTTGAAACAGACATTTTTATCATTAATCAATTTTTACCCCTCCTGAATGTGGTATTTTATATAAAATGCCAATTTTTTATTTTTGGTGGAACCACCAGAAATACAAATTATAGTAAATCAAAGCTGAAAAGTAACAAAAGTCAGAGCTTTGTGGATGCCTACATCTGAAATACATCTCATATATGATTTTGAAGTAATGAACAATCTTTTCTAAAATTGTTGTGCTTCATTTCAAAATGTGGGTTTTGCCTGAATCTGAATTTTTGTACAAAAAGAAAAAGCCTATGAAGGAGAAACAGAAACCACTTTAAGTAATTAATTACTATCCACAAAGAAAAATCAGAATGATAAATACCAGTTTTTGCAGTAATTTCCTACTTCCCTTTTAATCTAAATCATAAAAAACAATATGAAGTTGTATTCATTATTCTATAATTGCAAAGCAACAGCAAGAGGGGTAAGCAACTTTATCCATTTTAAATATAAACAATAATTTAAAATTGCCACTGTATTGCAGTGTATCTCCCAGGACCAAAAATACAGAAGTGTCCAGATGCTAATATAATGTTACATTTATCAGTATATTATTAATTACTGATAATTTAATATAACATACTCTATTTCATCAAATTTCTACTCCCATTACATTTCAGTTATCACTTTCCTCTGCTCCAATCCTCACATATTTCATATAGAAGAATCTTAACTTGGCCAGAATTAGTAAATTACTTGTAAAGGTAACAGCTGGTAAATCAGCATTTCCTATAAAAAGTCACTTTTATATGTTCTGACATAGAAATTGAATTGGTTTCACATGTACAGCTATAATGCCTTCAATGCAACAAATTCATAACACCAATTATTAAATATTAATATTTCCCCCCAAAAAAGTTGTTTATTGAAAAAATAATCTTACCTTCCAAAGACCCAGCATGAATCCTTGATCAAAATGGTAGAGTTCAACAAGTGCATCACAACCAATCATTTTTGCATTTTTAGTCATGTTTGCCAACTTGTATTCAGAAACTAAAGAACGTTGCCATGGGCTTCAAGGATATTAAGTTAGTTAAACACAAAATGCCAAATTAGTAATTGAAGTTCAACAACATTTCAACTTTTTAATGTGCAATTACTAGCAATAACGTAAGCTAAAAGCAGTTCTAAGTCCATTGATTTTCAAACAGATTATAAAACCAATACTATATATTTATTTACATCCCACCTTCATACCATTCAAGGTGACATACATAACATTCTTTCTCTTTCCATTTTTTTAACACAACCATCTTAGGTGATATCTTGAGCTGAGAGAAATTAACTGCTTCATAATCAGCCTGAGATTTTCTGAAGCTGAGTATAAACTGGAACTATTCTCTCTCACTGTTAATCCAACCCCAATTCCCTCCCTCCCATGAGCTTTTTATTATTAGATAATGGAAGGGATATCTACTTTCTTATAATTTAAGATGAACACTGTCTTTCACATCTGTATAAATATTCCCAATAGTAAGGCAGGAAACATACAGAATCAATAGAAGAGAATATTTGTAGCGCAGAGTTGAACTATGGAGTCTTTGGTGCACACTGAGCTTAATTGTTTTCTTCTAGATGTTTCATTATTTATTTATTTATTTATTTATTTGATTTGCCAATTGTTTACAAGATAATAAGTATAAATGTATACATAGTTGTGAATACATGAAATGGGTACATATAAGAAAAATAAAAGAATAAGAGAAACAATAGGACAGGGACGGTAGGCACGTTGGTGCGCTTATGCACGCCCCCTACAGACCTCTTAGGAAAGGGGTGAGGTCAATAGTAGACAGTCTAAGGTTAAAGTTTTTGGGGTTTGGGGAAGAAACTACAGAGTCGGGTAGAGTATTCCAGACATTGACCACTCTATTGCTGAAGTCGTATTTCCTGCAATCAAGTTTGGTGCGGTTTACTTTGAGTTTGTATCTATTGTGTGCTCTTGTGTTGTTATGGTTGAAGCTGAAGTATTCATTGACAGGTAGGACATTGCAATGTATGATTTTATATGCCATGCTTAAATCAGACCGAAGACGGCGTAATTCAAGGTTTTCTAGTTCTAGAATTTCAAGTCTGGTGGCATAAGGTATTCTACAACGAGTAGAGGAGTGGAGAACTCTTCTTGTGAAATATTTCTGGACTTTCTTAATTGTGCTAATATCAGATACGTAATGTGGGTTCCAGACTGATGAACTGTATTCGAGTATTGGTCTAGCAAATGTTTTGTATGCTCTGGTTAGTAGTGTGATATTACCAGAGAAAAAGCTACGTAGGATTAGGTTAACAACTCTTAATGCCTTTTTGGCTATGTAGTTGCAGTGGGCTCTAGCACTTAGATCATTAGAGGTGAGTATTCCAAGGTCCTTTACA